AAAAGAGCGATATTTCAAAAAATATTTGTTCTAAATGTAATTTATTTTGCTTAAAGTTTTGTCGCATTGAAAGGTATTTCATTTTCCAAATTTTTTTTTTTGTAATTGCCTCTCATTGGTCCAATTAATCTTTTGCGCATTTTTTTTTTTGCTTTTTGAAATGTTCTCAAAACGACAATAAAAATCTGGCCAGCTTTTCGGAACTAAATATTATTTCCGTGGTCAGCAATCGAGAGCGATCGCTCCTGCTTCCCAACCAAGCCTGTTTCCGTGTATGTCCATAAAGCAAAAATATTTTTTTTCCTACATAAACTTAAATGTTCTCAAAACGACTAAATAACCTGGCCAGTTTTTCGCAACTAAATATAATTTCCATGGTCAGTATTCGAGAGCAATCGCTCCCGCTTCCCAACCAAGCCTGCATTATCATACTCGTCCAGCATGTTTGATGAACCTACACAAATATGAACATAATATTGAAATAAAGATTATATCTAGAATAATATTCAAAGCATTAACATTATTATAATATTCAAAATATTAAAATTATTTTATGAACTAACACACCTCGAAAACTTAGATTTCTCGAATCTAAATCGAGAGTGACATCCAGTACCCAGAGTAAAATTTCATACCATTCTTCATTTCTTATCAACTTTTCAAGTTCTGAATTGATCCTGGTCTGATTTTTCAAGGCTTTAAAGGCTCATTTCCAGATGATATAGTGATTTCTGTGTTGAACATTACACTGGTGGCTTTTAATCTTTTTTCCTAGCTTTCGCCAATTATCTTTTATTCGGCCATTCCACATCAAGAGGAAAGACTGAAATCCTGGGCCAAAATTATGCTTTTGTCCAAAAATAGAGAAAGCAAACAAAAGCTTTTGCAGTTCTACTCCAGATAAGCCTTTGTTAATCTTTGTTAATGAAAATGTCACTTAATAATCTTTGTTAATGAAAATGTCACTTAACTTATGTTACACAGTAAACAAGGTAAAAAAATTGCCTCAACTTTTAGGTCAAATTTCCACGAATTAGTAAAGTGGTTTTGTATTAGAAACTTTTATAAGATGTTGAGAATTCTATACAAATTTAAAAAATATATAAAATTTGTTAGAGGTGACCAGTTAAGAAAAATAAACTGTTTTTTTTTAAACTATATATTTAACTTGCGTTATATCACATGTGTTACTTAGCGATTATTATCGTGGATTTTTATTTCTATTATTAGCTGCAGACTATTTTTATTTTGTTTTGATTATTAAGAAGAAAATTAATTTGCTGCATGCATTTATTTGAAATGAGCTAGAGAAAAATTACACAAAATATGTTTTTTTATTGATGATTTGCAACAAAACAAAATGATAGCCGTGTAAGTCAATTTTTGTAGTGGGTTCTAACACTTTTTTCTCAAAAACTGCAGAAGAAAAACTTTGGAACTTTTTCGATAATGTTATTACATACTATAAAGTACTATTTGTGAAAAAATTACTTAGTTCTGAGAGGGAGATCACAGACCGATGCGATTAGCATGCACGGATTGTGGTTTGTATTAAGATTAAATTTTTTAGAGTTTACTAACAAAAGAATTTTAACTTATTTGTTAAAAAATTAACAAAGGAAAGTTGTTAAAAAAACTGGTGGCACTCTTCTTAAGTGATTTTTTATAACATTTATGAAAGTTATCAAATCAAAAATAGTTTTCCGTAAGACCAAGAGCAACTTATAAAATTACTTTAGTATGACATCTTTATTAATACTTATCAAGTAATTTAAATAAGAAAATCTTTGGTTTGTTGAAGTTTTTACTTACACTTCTTACGTTTATGCGTATTGCCTTATTTTCATTAGGTTGAGTTTTTAAAATAATGCTAAGTATTTACATTTAAATCTTTTAAAATATTTTTGATGTAAAAACTGCTATCACAGTTTAAGAGCGTGATGTATATTGTTTATATGTGAGATATATGTGATCGTTTGTGACAGGATAAGAATTGACAAATGATATGCTTTATGGATTACTCACTTAATTGCATTTATAAACGATTTGTTTTACTAAATAAAATAAAAAAAAAGATTCTAACTGATTTTTTTTATATTAGGAGAATAGCAAATAAATCATTTTTTATTTTTTATTTTAACGTCTAAATAAAAATACTTATATGTATTTAAAAATATTTATATAATATGCATATTTAAATGTCAACCAAAATAAGAACAAATAAAAAAACAATTATATAAATAATTTTAACTAAACATTAAAAAAAATTTTTCCAAATTCTCCTAATACAGCAAGTTTCAGCTAAAACTTTGTCAAACCAACACAACAAAATAAGAAATACATAATGACGTAATTCATTTTGTAAACAAAACATTGTAAATGCATGTAGTTTTGACTTACGTTACACAAATTTAAAATAAAAATGTATTTAACCATAGTCACAAAAATAGAATCTAGTGAATCTAATATTGTGGCTATGCTTTAACTAAGCATTGTTATTCAAAACTTTAAATGTAAAAAAGTAACATTTAATATTCTTTCGCATATATTATTTATTAAAAAACTTGAGTTTTTATACTAAATTTTAGAAAAAACAAAACTGCATCATGCCTTTGTTAACTTAAGTTACATAAAAATTGCAAAAGTTCTTTTGTTATTTTCTTGAAATATATATATTTTATAAAGTATAAAATCTGACCAACAACAATTTGAACATGTTAGCTCCATTTTTACGCTAAATTAATTTCGATTATGCAAATAAATTCATGGTTAAAATAACATTTTACAATGATACTTTTTTTATCATGCAACAATGAGAAAAACCATAAGGTATAAAAATGACAAAGATAAATTAATTTTAATATTCAAGGTATATTTTAAATAAACTTTTATGTGTCTACATCAATATTCTTATGTTAAAAGTTGATGAAAAAGAGAAAAACTAGTTTGACTAGTTTTTCATTTTCCACCATAGAATTGCCTATACACATCAAAGATGGATCCAGAGGGGCTAGGGAGTATGCACCCTCCCCCCCCCCCAAACCTCCAAATTCTGAAAATCCTAAAATATTTTAGAAATGGAGCACCATTATTATATATTTTTTGACTTGAACGTCTTAAGTGTGTTACAAAATGCAAAAAATTATTCAATATCTCCCACCCTTCCCCCCCCTCCCCACACACACACTAAAAATTCCTGAATCCGTCACTGATCAGGAAAGCAAGATAAAGGAAGCGAATTCCAAAGAACTAATGTTCGAGGTAAAAACTAGATGAATAAAAGTTTTTATAGCACTTAAGAACAGTCATAGAAAATAGATGAGACTTGATTGAATGACAAGTATCACGAGAATGAATTTTAGTAGATGGCACAAGAGACGCTACAATGTATTTTTGCACCTTGTTAAAAGAGAAAGGATATCATTAGAAGATCTGCCCCAGATATGGCAACAGTGTTTCATACAAGGCCAGATTTAAGATTTATAGAGATAGAGAATAGAATCCAGAGTAAAAAAGTGTCAAACTCGATAAAGAAATGCAACCATAGCAGATGCTAATTTTGCAATGGATTTGATATATGGTTTCCAAAAAAGATCAGAAGTAATCCTAGAAGATAAAGAGTAGATGACTCATCCAGTACATTACTGTTCATAAATACAGGAAGGTCTAAATTATTGCGATAACGATTGGCTAAAAATCTTTAATTTTATCTGAGTTAAAGTTCACCAGCCACAGTGAGCTCCATACTGTAGCAGAAGTGAGATCCTTTTCAAGCTCAAATGCTTTCTACAAGCAATCAGAGGGTGTTGGCTTCTTATCATGACAAGAATAAATGGTAGTATCATCAGCAAATAATGCCATCTTAGATGTGAGAATATCTGGAAGATTTTTAATGTAAGTTAAAAAAAATAGGGCCAAGGATAGAACCTTGAGGGTTAAAGGATATGAAAGAGTGCTGTCCATTGAGGACAATTTTTATACCACAATCGGAAAGAAAGGATTCAACAATCTTAAAGATGTTACCTGATACACTGTACCAAGAAAGCTTATGGAGAAGACTAGCATGCCAAACTTTATTAAAAGCTTTAGAAATGTCAAGAGCAATAGCCTTAACCTCTCCACTTCTATCTAATGCACGATAAAACCTATTGGTTATGTTTGCAAACAAGCTGTAGAACGAGAAAATCGAAATCCATATTGATGATCAGAAAGTAAGTTATTAGATTCAGGATGAGAGACTAAGTGTTTGTTAATTGAAGATTCAAAAACCTTGCTTATGATTAAGGAAGAAGACTAATGGGAAGATAGTTAGACGAGTCAGATTGCTCTCCAGAATTTTTGAAAATAGGGATAACAGATGCTGCTTTCCAGCATGCTGGTAAACGAGAGTCCAATAAGCACTTTTGAAAGTATATTCAAAAGCTCCGGATATATATATATATATATATATATATATATATATATATATATATATATATATATATATATATATATATATATATATATATATATATATATATATATATATACAGTAAAAAAATAAAAACATTTACTTTATTGAAAAAGTAAAAAAAAAATTCTAGTCTTTAAAGTTGTGCTTATGTGGTTTTTTAAGAAACGGTAAAATTTAATCAGTTTCCTTAAAAAAAAAAAAACTTGTTTCAAAATCATAATTTTTCGCCCTGGATATGTTACCTAACTTGATTACCTTACCCGATAAAAATCCAAAAATTAGTTTATTTGAAGATTTTCAAAACTTTTCTCATATTGGTTAAAAATTTGTTGAATTTTTAGCATTTTTACAAATTTTTATAAGGTTTAAAAACCTTCAAATTAATAGTTTTTAGACTTTTATCATTCTATATAAATATAGGATGATAATAACAATGATAGCAATAATGATAGCAAACCAGTAATAGCAAGATAGTAATAATGATAGTAATAATGATAGCAAATCATATTAACAACAACAAAAATAAAATTAAAAAAAAAAAACATACTATTTTAGATTCTTCTACTTTTTCTTTTAGTACAGCTTTGCCAATTGTGTGCATTTGCACAAGCAATGTAAAATAACCTAGTTCTTCTTTTTCATAATCATCAAGATTATGACAATACCGAATGTCAAAATCCTGGGGTGGAATTTGACGAACCAATGCCCTTTGACGTTGCTGGTTTTCTTCTTTATTTTTAGTTGACGTCTTCCTTTTTTCACTCTACAACAACCAATTTTTTTAAATTTTACTACAAATATTCGAAGAAAACACATCACATTTAATAAAGTGTTTTAATGGTAATCAAGCTAAAATTTACATTAGAATTAAATTCGGTATTGCAAACTTTAAACTTCAACAGTTGATCCACAGTTGCATTGTTTTCATTTTTTTGTAATTCATCCTGTTCATTATCAAATTTAGTTATAGATTTTTTAAATTTTTTTCTGGATAAATGTTCTAATAATGGGTGTCCTTCTAAAACCTCATCATCTATGCTGCACTCCCATGGTGATGCATTATCATAATCATCATTAAGTAAATTGTAAACAATTGCTTCATGAATGCTTTTGTCAACTTCAACTTTGTGATCTTCGAGTTTGCATCCACAGTTTTTGCACACTTTTCTATTGCATACAAATATTTTAATATCAGACGAATATTTATTCAAGATATACAATAACTAATAATTGTATAAAAATTTAACACATAAAAGTATAATTAAAATGGAGAATTTGCACTTGATTTAAAGGTCACCTGATGGTCAGGGGAGGATGGTATATCTTCAACAAAAAAATAGCTAAATAAATCACCGGTAATAATAACCTGTAAACCAAGTAAACCTTTTCTTACATTTAAAATATTATATTTGAATATGATATTTTAAATGAATATTCATTTTGTTTTTTATTTATTTTCAGTACTTTATTCCGATTAACAGAGAAAAATGGTACTCATGACAAAATATTAAAATATTTTGCCCTGGACAAAATATCCTAATATTTTATCCAAGACACCCTAGGTCAATGGGGCAAAAGTCTTTAAGGGCGCCAATCAGATGCTATTTCAATTAGTTTAGATCATTATTAGAGATTAAATAAAGTCGCAATATAAAACAAATTGTATACAAAAAATTGTTATGATTGAAGAAAATAAAGATTTAAAGCTATTTTTCAGGCATGGTGGCTGTCACGGTAGCATTGATTCATCAATGAGACTAAATTTCTCAAAAAAATTAAAAAAATAGATAAAATTGGTCCGTAAAATTTTTTTAGTTAATAATTTGATTTGCATGTGGGTTTATTAATATTTATAGCGGAAGACAAACTCATTCAAAAAGTATTTATTTAACTAAAAAACAATACCCTGATTGAGCTTTGATAGCTAAAATCGAGAATTTAGAAAAAAACTTCTAAGTTTTTTTATCTCTAAAGCCAAATAATTATTATAGAAGTATAAAAAGAAGTATAAGGTAACTCGTTATTTTTGACATTTTTATAAAGGCTGAAATTATTCAAGAAATAATCATAGACAATAATAATTATAATCATTATTTTTTCAACAATTAAATAATAATTGTCATAATTATATCAATTGGATGTAATTGTATAAAGGTTTAAAATAAAAGCAACTACTTTAGCTAATTGTTACAACTTAATTACTATATTATATATATATATATATATATATATATATATATATATATATATATATATATATATATATATATATATATATATATATACACTTACTAAAGCGTGTTTTGATAAGCATTTGCTCACTTTTTGTGCTTAACCGTTTTTTTCGAAAAAGAAGTTAACCGTTTTCGAAAAAGAAGAAGAAAAAAACGAAGAATGATAAATAAAACGATTGCTTCCCTATCCCAAACCCTCAGTCAATGTAGCAGCACTTCACTGCGAGTCAGGCTATTTGTCAGTCGTTGTATGTACTGAAGCCCCTAGCAGCCGGCTATTTCAGTATGACGTCAGATTGCTTACCAAAGTACGCAATACTATTTGTATATATATATATATATATATATATATATATATATATATATATATATATATATATATATATACATCCAATAGAAAACAACAATTTGGACAAGAATGGGTTGTGTCAAGACTTATCAAGTGATAGCAAAAGCATAGCTCTTCAAATATTCAACTTTTTCAATCACTGGTTGTACTTTTATGAAATATGTACCTCCTTAACCTTGGCTAAATTCTTTTTCCAATGGATCAGTAGAAAACTCACTAAGAATGACATATTGATGTGAGCTATCTAATAATGATTTACATAGTTCAACAATACCATTGCATGTATGGTAAATTGACTGTGCAGTGTCACAAGTAAGTTTTTTCTCCCTTTTGCTTTCCCGCCATCTTTAAAGCCATATTTCCAAAATTAAAAATATTTTTTAATCTATTATCATTAGGACCAAATAAGCAATTAACTATTAAACCCAATATAGTTTTTGCAAGAGAAGTTGAATCGTTGATTGCTTTTCCAAATAATGTACCACCATGGTATAACAACATTTTTTTAACATAAACCTCATATTGCAATAAAAAACAAAGTTTCTGTTTTTCTTCAACAGATTGAAAAATATTAGTCAAAAAATGGTTCTCATTTAATTTAGAAACTTTTAAAGTTATTCTTGTCAAAGATTTTACAGAAGGCAATTGGTAATCTGTTCCCAATTGATTATACAAACTTCTAGATGTAGCAAAATACTGAAAAGATCTAATAATAACCTCCTTAGAATAAATCTTACTACCAACGCACTGTGTACCCATAGAGGCTAAATGTTCCTGAACTACAATTTATTTTCTGCCTGGAATTAAATTCTTCAAATAATGCAAAACTTCTTTTAATATAGACCACGTGTTGATTTTTGAAGTTCTGTTTTTAGATATTGTAGGAACTTTATTTTTGGCACCATAATGATAAGTTTCAAAATGTAAATACTCACTTATCTTGATTAAAAAATAAGGAACTCCATTTGAATAAACCTGTGATTGTAAATGAATAGTGTTATTAATCATAAAGCATACTATCGGAACACCTAAATCTCTTTCATTATTTAAAAGAATTTTTTTTTATTTCAGCAAAAGTTACTCTATCTTTTTCTAAAAAAGTGGATAGTTCATCTTGAGCGAAATTTGGAAAACACGAAAAAGCATGAGTTGTTGCAGGTAAACGGTAATGGAAGAAGATGGGTATGAATTTGACAAGACGGTACACCAGGCCAAACAGATGGTGAAAATTTAGGACGATATTTTCCTCTAACTATTTGTTTTTCAAAATTTATTGGCCAATGCAACTCACAAACTACAGTGTCATTAGTAACTTTTAAGTTTGCATTTGGAATTACTTTAATCCGCATCTGTTTTTCTTCTTCATTTATAGCTAATCGATATACTGAAATCTTTAAATTATCAGATTTCTTTTTTGCAGATAAATAATTTGTAGTGCAGCCATAAATGCAACATTTTTTATCCATAATTTAATATCACTAAAATGGCGACTAAAGTTAAGCAAAATTTTAAATAGGCCCCCAGTCAGATACGCACTTTGTATGTTGGCAAGGCCTGCAGTATAGATCGTCATGATTATTATATAAACATTGATTTATAAAGTCACAGTAAAATACTGAACAATATAAACCAATATACATATATATATATATATATATATATATATATATATATATATATATATATATATATATATATATATATATATATATATTTATATATATATATATATATATATATATATATATATAAATATATATATATATATAAAGGACACCTTGTAATACTTTTGACCAAGAGCTATATGATACGTTAATTTTTGTTCTTTGGCATCGATCATCTAAATAGCTTTTAATAAGTTTCAAAGCATTAATGTCAAAACCATAAGTAATAAGTGTATTATTATAAATATTATAATACTTTTTTTATTTTTTATTTCAACTTAAATAATTTAAATTGTACGTTGTATCCGACCTAGGATGAAAAGTTGCATCTTTTTGAATCTACTCATGGATTTTTGCTTGCGCGTCCTTGATAAGGCTATGTAACTTTTTGTATTATTACCTGAGGGCACAGCTCTAAAATTCAGTTTAATGGTATTAAGGCCGGCTGTTATTAGGATTTTCTAAACTGTGTAACTCTCAGAGAAAATGATTCCATTAACAGCTGTAAAATATCAAAGTATAACAATGGCCATGATTTTTATAAAAAGATCTCTGTTTTAGCTTTTGGAGAGCATTGTTAAGGCGACATAAAAGCCCTTTATTACAAATTTAGGCTAATCAAATTGTGCTAATTTAACGTCTGTAATAATTCAACTATTACACTCTTTCTGGCATCCCAGAAAAACAGGTTAAACCATTGTTAGACATTCAAATCCGTTCTGCTTCTGTTGCTAAAATTATTTCTTACTTAAACCTCTCTTCAGGTTGTGGCCCGGACAACATACCTGTCACAAACTAACAAAAACCCATAACTTTCTTATTACTCTCAAAACTACTTAAACGTTTAAAATTATTCAACACATGTTTAAAACTATTTAACAAGTGTTTAAGTGAAGCTAGTTTTTTTTCAAAAGGAAAATGACATCTGAGTTTCTAAGTTTCAAAAACTTAGAAAATTACTATTTCTATTTCTATTACGCCTTATATTCATCAAGTTTTTTTTCTTGAACACCAGTTCGAGAAAATAAACTTGTCTGAAATTATAATTATATTAATTACAATTTCAAAGATAATTAATTAACGGTTGAATTGGAAGTGACTTTGTTGACTTTAATTTAATTTAAATACACGATTCTCTGATTACATTTTAGTGTTGCGCACGCATGTTAACTGCCATGCGCAAGTCTAACGGACAAAATCGGCTTTCCAATATAATTTTCAGATGCGGATAGTGAAGATAAAGCTTTTTTAAATCAAACGACTTTACATGAAGTCCTGAGAGTTTTTTTGAGCTGGAGAAAAGTTTCATGAACGTGATTACAAAGCATTATTGCATAGGTAAATAAAATTTTCTTTTGTTTATTTTTAATTTATTTATCCGCCTTATTACCATATTTCTTATATATAAAAAAACTTTCCAGAATGTAAAAAAGATGGCAATAAAGCTAATAAGTAAGTTAAAAAAAAAGACATCTTTTATTAAAAAACCTAAAATTTAATGCTTCGTAATCATCTTCATGAGATTTTTTTCTCCAGCTTAATAATAGCTTTAGGGCTTCAACAGATATCATTTTAAAATCCTGTAAAATCATTTTATGTAAAAAAAGCTTTATCTTTGATAATCTTTACAAACAATATTCTAAACTATAAATATACTAATATAAATAAATATATAATTAAATAAACTAATATTATAGTTATATCCAAGTTTTCGTAATTTATTCCTTAAATATCAGATACTTATAGTTTAGTATATCGTTTCTTTATAGAAATGGCATCTTGGGAAAAAAGCTAATAAGTAGCATAGGATTAGCGAATGTTTTGAAAAAAGTTAATACTCGATAGTGAAAATTACAGTTTGTTTCATCTCTTCTTGTTCCATGAAATTTACAAAGCTACTGTCTCCATTTAAAAAAAAAA